ACGGGGAATATGACTAGAAAATTTTTAGCTGAATGGTATATTCTACATCATATGATATTAATGGCTTACAAACTTGTACAACGTTGTTTTTACAAGAACAGCGACCGCTCTAAACACACTAATTAATCTTTATATATGCTATGATGCCGTGTTACGGTTTAGACACATTGTCATTTCATTTCTTTCATGTTTTTTGATAACACGTACTTCATTCCACGACTGTTGCGAGCAGCGAGGCCGTGATGAAGTTGAACCTGGTCAGAATCGAACCTTTTGTAGTTCGAAATAGACCATTCACAGTACTCTGCATTTTAGTGTAATCGAGGCAACGTAAAAATGTTTAGGTATTTCAGGTTAGTGTTCATGAATGAACGAGGTAGCATAAGCACAGAAAGCGACCATGTGAGTTCCGCAGTGATAATTCCGTGTGTAGTGAAGAAAAGAGATCTGAATTGGTAGGAAGCCATCTCTCTTCGTATCTGTTTGAGCACTGTCATGCCTCATATGTGATCATTAGTTTTAGATATTAGCCTTTGTGCTATAAAATATGCAAAACGTTGGTGTCAATAGGTTAAACATTTTAACGAATAAATACAAACTGTGCGATGCATTGCATAGCCTTGTGATGTATGACAGAGCACATCAGGAATGACACTCTTCTCCTCTGGGCACAGGTGACCTCAGGGGGCATAAAGATTAAAAACAGACGTTAGTCCTGTTAGATAAACTGGTCTTTTGATTCTGCATACAAGGTGTTTACTCAAGCCAATTGGCTTCTTGTGTGGGAGCCGAAACATGGCAGATATTGACCAGGAAGTTAGCATGCAACATTAAGAAACAGGGTGTAGGCAGATCTATTTTTTAGAACGTGAACTACTGCTTTTACGAGGTAGTAATCATGTTCTTGAGGCAAAAATGAGGGCAGAACTGCTGCAAAGCTGCGGATGCAGGAGACATCACAAGCCAGAGACGTTCTGCATATGCAAACAGTCCAAGGTGACGATTTCAAGAAGCAAACACCCACAAGCACGCAGTCGTGACATCACAAAATGCTGGGGATTGCTGTATCCACGTATCTGTAAACTTATGTGAGTTCCCTTCGTTGCTACCGTAACATCTTTGTTTATTTTATCTTGACGAAAACAACTGTTCGGCAGTCACAGAGTTAGTGATGTTATATTATATGGTATCTAACGATGTAGTTTGGCCTTGCATCGATAACTACGGAATCAGAGCATCATGAAGTAGGTACGAACAGAATTAAAATTAATTTATCAAGTCAATGAAGTGAAACCTTCTGTAATCAGAATGTCCCTGCTTTGACCTACTTCAGTGAATGTAGGTACTGGCGAAAGATCTCTACGGCAGTCACAGGTGACAGAAAACTGGAATTCAGTCGATGAGGTGTTGGTACGCATTCAATAAACTTGAAACGTGGCATTCGCGAGTGCCTGCATCTCTTTATTGAGAAATTCTAGCTACGATGAATTCGGGCATATGTTCAGGATGCAACGGCGAAAACGCACAAGATGGTCTAAGCATATCGAACGTTTCGCGCTATCGGATTTTGATGCCTAGCTTCTATACATTGAAGCAAACTGAAAAACGACACCACTTCAGAAGCCATACTTAGCTGATGCCTCCTCCCCAGCTTGAACGAAACAGCTAACTCTTCAAGAATTGAAGGAATGAATGACTTATGGCGATTAACTGCAGTGAGTTTATAAATAGGAGGAGGCGAGATTACCGACGAGGGATGTCTGCTGAAACGGGCTTGGAAATATACTCAGAGAAACCGATGGATCAATGGTAATGAATCTACCAAGTCAAAACTCAACATTCTCTGACTTAATGTATCACAAGTTATAGATGCAAAAACGGAGTGCCAGGGAAAAAGAAGATGAGTTTCTTGAAGCACTTTGCATGTGAGATTGCAGGTGAATTTAGCGAATCTTTAGAGCCATAAATGTATCCAGCATACGCTTAATATTGTCCGCATGCTTTACATGAAACCGCAACAGGAAGCGTTGTGTATTTTTCCCATATGAGGAGAAGGTCGTTGATCCTTGAGACTTATATTGCCACGAAGCTTTATTAAGTAAAGAACAAAAATCGAATGTTTATTGACAGACGATACAAGAAAGAACCCAGCGATTTTGAGCTCGTGATCACATGAACCGGTATAAGAGCAGAAAATTACTCTGTACCTGCACTTGGTATCGTAGAAAGGACAGCACCTATTAAATATTGTAACAGCGGTCACCTGTCTCGCAACCAAACTTGCTGTACAGCGTAACTTATTACCTGCAGATGCTAGCAGAATCGTTCGTGATGAAGGATAAGCTTTCTACTGTAAGTTTTTGCATCCATCAATTTTCAGAGCAACCCGTTCCTTTTAAGCTACACAGAGGAGACATTTGAAGAGGTTTTTCTCAATTTTCAAATGAGTTATGGCAACCTCCACTTATTAGACTGCAAAGGGGGCCAATTTCGGGCATGATGATGTATATCTGGCTTTCTGTTTGTCACTGATTGGGTTCTACATGACATTGCGAATGGATAACGCCTAGAGTGCTCATCCTATTGCGTGCTGAATAGCTACTGATTCAGCAATTCTAATCCGCTGCGTTGATTTCCGCGGCCATTACCAATTGCATTGAAGAAATTTCCATGAGCTGGGTTTCAAGATGGGACAATGGTTTGCTACCTTATAAACTGAAGTCATTTCTCACCCGGTCTTCCACCGATCGCTTGGTACATGAAATTGAGGATCGTGCATCTTGCCAGAAGTCTTTCCTGTGACATTCTGACATGTTAAACCGTAACCATTCCATGGTTACCCTACTTTCTTCTGTTCTTGAAACCATGTAATGTTAATTTGTGAACGTTATCAATCTCCATGTTTCAGTGACACCAGTTATACCAATGGAAATTACATGAACTGAACTCGATTCATCAATTCAGTACACGAGTGTCACTCTTCCCGTTTATCTGTCCTTTGCATCTAGACACTCGAGAGGTGTTAAATGAGGGAGTATGCCTCCATGCCGTGACACCCGGAAAGGCAACATTTTACTAATCATACTATTCGGAAATAGTGAAAACTTATTTGCTGCGTTTTTGTTAATAAGGACAGTTGTTAACTAGGATTAGTACCAGTTGATTCAATCCGAAACACTTTTTGACCCTGACCAAGGAATGAAGGAAAGGATGGATAGTTTGTAACCGTTTGAAGGTCGGTCTTCATCGCACTTCTATGATGGGGCCATTTCTAACTTTCTTTTTTCATAAAGTTATTGTTGGGACGCTGCTCGGTGCCACGAACAAAATTGCCTTGTTATGTTTTTAAAATCAGCAGCTATTTGACCCGCATGGTGTGTAGTCTCCTGCCTCCTGTCCGCAGAGTAGCACTTATTAATCAACCTCAGAAGGAAGAAAGGTAGGTGACTCGAGACCTCTCAGTTCTGAGTCTGACCAACCATATATTGATTGGGCTCTTCCATCTGAGGGCATGTTTTCACCAGTGCTGTTTCATTTCTGAATACAGTCGGAATCGTTGAATCAAGCTGTATTTATCTTCCATCAAACAGCGGATTTGTTTTCTCAACTTGCTGAGGCTACTGAGTGCAAAGATGTCGAACCCATTATGATTGACAGCGCTACAACTGCTTGTTTTCAGGTGGCCAACACCGTTCTTTCGCTGTTGGTCTGCTCATAGCTTATGTTTGACAGACGAAGACAACCTGGTGAATTCGGTAACGCGCTGCCTGACAATAGCCACTGCAGCAGCGTGAATTTTGGACCATCCCTTTACGATCATCGCTGATCCTTTGGAATGGTCGTAGACGAAGACATCACGATTATAGATTGGTGTTAGGTATTTTCAAAACTTTCCACACACAGGGACAAACGCAGCGCTGGCCTTATGGAACAAAATATCTGGTTAAGCAGCCCTTCTTGCCGTACTGTAAGCCAGCAGCAGAAACCATCTACTCTCAATCAGTAAATGGAGCGACTAACAATAAATAAACTTGCTAACTGACAAGTTACCCTTCCAAAACCAGATTTCTTGCGTATCACAACACACGCTGCTCCTAATTACCTAGGAGGCATTTAAGCAAGCCACGACTCCATGGTACTTGAGCATCTACAGTTCGAGATGTATCTCACACCATTTTGTTCGCTAGATTCACTTCACGCTCAACGCAAATGATGCTTCAGAAGAGGACACTACTCATATGCTACCGCATCAACATCGTCGTACTGTAATGGAGTGGATGAAATGTTACGTATATAAAGTAGATGGTAAACGGAAAAGTACTTTACCGATCTCCGTCTCTTAAATTTTTAAATTGCATTCCTATGATACAAGAAAACGTCGCACCAACCAGGCCGTCGAAGATGGGGTCTTCCAACAAGCCTCCAACGTATAGATCGACATTATCTACAAGAAACGAGACTGATTCAACAAATCGGCATTATGCCCAATGAAACGTACCTGGGTGACCGTAGCCCTGCTTCAAGTTATTACGTAGATTGGGGTCCAAGATTTCGCCGCTGAGGTCGTTGAAATCGTTGGCTCGTTGGAGGCCGCAAAATTCGCGATAGTCGTTGTAGGACGCTAATCCGTGGTCTCGACCACGCTGGATATTGGTCGAGGCAAGGTCCGTGGAGCCGAACAGGTTTTCGGTCGCGGCGCTGGTGACTCGCTGTGGCCGTTTGGCGGACATTGTCATCAGTCCGATTAGTACCGGCTCAATTCCTCCTTCGAACAGCAACTTGGCCGGCTTCAATACTGCCTCGTCGAATCTGCGTCACATAAATAAATGTAGTTTTAAATATACAAATACACATATGGCTATAGAAAAAAATAAGGAGTTAAAAATTTTACTTAACGCACCAACATTACTCACTTAGCACTCAACAACGGTCTGTCGCAAAGCAGACAGCCCACCTGGTGCACGGGTGCACCTGTCATGGTCTCGTCTTGCGTATCATTGAACACAGACTTTAATCGTGTATTTGCATTCACAAACTTTAATAATATTTTGTGCTATTTTAGGGTACAGTCATGACTGGAAAGAGGAACACGTGCATAAATTGACCTCAAAATTAATTTAGAGATGAAAATGAAAATTATGAAGGCAAACGGAGGTGAACAAATCTTAACGGCCATTGAACGTGACCTTGGACTCGAACCATTGACAGCGAATACAATGGTGAAAGATGTTGTCTGCATTAAGGGGCATGGATATCATAGTGAAGCGTGACTGACCCACATGATGATGGATCATTATATGAAAACTCATCCAGTTAGAAGCTTGCTAAGCTTGCTGAAGCCTCAGCTTCACGGTGAAAAGAAAACTTGAGACGTTTCATGATCAAGCGAAAGAGAGAAACGTTTCATGACGATAAAAATGACAATCACGTTTCATGAGATTTCAGCAAGAATGGCACGATTTGAGTAGATAGATTTTACTGCCTCACGAATATTGAAAGTCCATGGAGTAATAGATAGTGTATTGACCTATTATCGAATTATTTATAAAGAGAACAAAGAAGATCCTTCTTCAATCATTTTTTTGATAATTTCATAAGTGAGGTCGAACGGCTTAAGTAAATATTTTTTATTTCCTGTTACTTTGTTATTTATATGGTATTATATATTTTGCATAATAAATCCATA